ACAGTTGAGAGATCTGTGGTGTCTCAGGGGATAGATTCTAAAGGAAATTAGTGCCTGGCAGCATTATCTCCTCTTTTTTCCTTCACTTTTAAAATGATTTTTTTTATATTAGTAATGACAATAGCTGTCACTTAGTGGCTTTTGTGGGCTACCAGCATTGCACGTTAGGTTAGCCACATGACATGGCCGTTCTTGCGGGGCCAACCTACTCTTTCCCCACGACACCCCGGCAAGCTCGCTGTGCGATGATCCTTGTTTTACACCTGAGGAGTCTGAGGCTCAGAGATGGTATGTGACTTGCCCGTCGCCACAGCACTAGAAGCATAAAGCGGGTCCACGAGGTGCAAAGTTGAGTCTTTCTGGCTGGGTTTTCATGGCATAGAACATCCTTGTTTGCCATGTTTTCAGTATCACTGATAAAATGAGCGCTGTGTAGAATTGGTCCTTTATGTATCCGGGAATTTGGGCACATGGTCCTATTTTGCTTTTTTGTACAATGTACATCCTCCTATCCCATTTGTCTGGAAATGGAAATGGGAGTGGCTTGGGGCGGCTCTGCGGGTGCTCTGGGGCCAGGACGTCTTTGCCCGGCAAGGTCAGCAGCTCCAGCCACGTGCCGACCTGGTCCCTTTGTGTCTGTTCTCTAACCTGCATCGTGGCTGCCGCCACTGTCTTCCTTCAGGTATGGCGTGGCGGTGCAGGACTTTGCGGGCAGCTGGAGGAGTGGGCTGGCTTTCCTGGCTGTGATCAAGGCCATCGACCCCAGCCTGGTGGACATGAAACAGGCCTTGGAAGATTCCACACGAGAAAATCTAGAGAAGGCGTTCAGCATTGCCCACGACGCCCTGAGCATCCCCAGGCTCCTGGAGCCAGAAGGTAGCAGTGGTCCTCTCTCTCTTTCTTTCTGATAATTTTTATTACAAATGTACCGCCTGCTGTTCCATGTAGAAAATTTAGAAAATACAGACAAATCTAACGAAGAAATTTTTATGTCGCCTATATTTGTACCATTCAGATCATATACTATTTTTCCAATATGTTTATGCATCTAATTAGAATATTTTTACATAATTGGTATCATTCAGTGTATACATAATTTTGTATCTTTTTTTACTTACATTATAATATGATGTAAGTATTTTGCATATTGCTATAATGTCTTCATTATATATTTTTATTGGCTGCAAAATAGTCAATGTAGAGGACATACTAAAATTTGCTTTGCTCTTCCACTACTGGTGGACATTGACGTTGTTTCAGAAATATTCACTTTTATGTATCACATTGCAGTGAGCATCTTACTGAATACAGCTCAACATGCATCTCAGATTATTCCCTGAAGGACCAGGTTCCAGCAGCAGAATAACAGAGTAGGAGAGAACATGCCTTTTAAAGGTGTTTGGTGTCAAATTGCTGTCCAGGTGGGTTAGGCTGACCTAGGACCCCTTGCACCACGTATAGGGTGCCTGGTTCACCATACTTGCCCATGGACCCGGCAGTGAGCCGGTTGCTCACAGTGGAAGGGACTAAAATAGCAGGGAAGAATGCACAGAATTTGCGGGGAGAAGAGCCCTGGATTCTACATCCTAGCTTCTCTGTTCCTCAGGCTGCCATGAGATTTCAGTCAAACGATTCGCCCTCTCTGAGCCTAAGTTTCATCAAGTAGAAAATAAAGAGAAAAACCCTCAATGATTGTCGGGGTCCTTCACCATCAAGCGTTCCAGAATCCTATTGAAAAATTTCATGTTCGTGTCTCCTGCTAATTCCTGCATCTCTCTTAACAGACATCATGGTTGACACGCCGGATGAGCAGTCTATCGTGACTTACGTGGCACAGTTTCTAGAACGTTTTCCGGAGTTGGAAACCGTATGTTTGTTTTTCTTACCCTTAATTCAGAAACCATACATTTCCATTCCTTGGCCATCATATGGAAGCTGGGACTTGGGCTGTGTTGTTCTGCATAATTAGCAATGATAATCAAAGTTGATCTCAAATCCCTTAGCATTGCCTAGCCACATTTTAATTTCGGAATTACAGTAGCCCCCCCCTTATCCACGGGGGATACGTCCCAAGACCCCCAGTGGATGCCCGAAACCTCCTACTGAACCCTATATATACCATTTTTTTCCTATACATACATACCTATGATTTATAAGTTAGGCACAGTAAGAGATTAACAACAATAACTAGTAATAAAATAGAACAATTATAACAGTTTGCCAGCATCACTACTTTGGCACTTTGGGGCCATTGTTGAGTAAAGTAAGGGTGACTTGAATGCAAGCACTGTGATACCCCGACAGTCAATCCGATAATCAGGACGGCTACTGAGTGGGTGGGTAGTGAAGACAGCTTAGCGATGCAGGCAAAAGGATGAGTCACATCCCAGGCAAAATGGGAACAGGGCGGTGAGAGATTTTTGCCACGCTACTCAGCATGGCACGCAATTTAAAACTTATGAATTGCTTATTTCTGGAATTTTTCATTTACTGTTTTGGACTGCAGTTGACTGTGGGTAACTGAAACCCTGGAAAGTGAAACTTTGGATAACAGGGACAACTAAGCTGTCTTCACTACCCACTCGTTAGGCACTTGGTAGCTGTCTTGATTATCAGATCAGGGTGTTCCAGTCACCCTTACTTTACTCAATAATGGCCCCAAAGTGCAAAAGTAGTGACGTTGGCATACTGTTTGTAATTGTTCTCAATAAACTTAATAACATATATTAAGTTTAAAAGCAGAACAGGAAGTTACGCCTCTCACAAACCTGTTCCCACACAGATTATAAAAGAGGCCCACTTGGGGTCTGGATCGGCTACCTGGGTTTTTAGATGTCAGATGGAACATGTCAGAGTCTACCAGATGTTATCAGTGTTAAAAATTACAAAAGACAAGGATCATTCCAAAGACCACCTTTTTATTTTCAGGATCCCAGATTATACTTGGTGAGAGATTTTTTGGAGCAGAGTCAGACATTTTAGAAGTTGTCATGTCTCTGTTGAACTCCCACCCGACCCATGCACAGCCCTAACATGACAGTATCAATGACAACAACAGCAGCCTTTTCTTGGATCCATTATTAATTTACTGAACCCCTACTGCTGGCCCAGGGGACTCCGCAGTAAACCAGATGGATGAGGTCCCTGACTTTGTGTAGCTTTGTTCAAACAGGGTTAACAGTGAACAAGTCAGCAAAACCATAATTTCAGGTGGTTATAAGTACTAGACAGAAAAAAATATAAGCATAAAGAGTTAAAGAGTGCTCATAGGAAGGGGGACAGCCGTGCCTATGTATCTCTGGGCTGCCTGCCGTTCCTGCAATCTGGCATGGCTTAGTTTCATTATCCCCTTTTTACAGATGAGGATGAGAATGTGCAAAGAGGCCTAAAGACCTCTCCAGGCCCACACAGCTACCAAATACAGAGATGGGGTTTGGCCCCAGGTCTCTGTGGTTCCAAAGTTCAGGCGATTAGGTCCCTTACGACATGCAGCTGAAACTGGGACCTTATTTTGTACAGAAGAGCCAGATGGGACCCTCCATGCCGCGGCTCTTATTCTGGTGCCGACCTGTGCGCATTTTCCATCTGTCCCTGCACCACAGAACAATCCCCAGGGCACTTTGTAAGGAGGAATTCCCGGGCCGGAATGCCCGTTTTGCGGCTTACAGCTGTGTAACCTTGGACTGGCTCGTTGACCTCTCTGAATCACATCTATATCAGATTAATCTGTAAAATGGAAATATTACCCACATTTCAGGGTTGTGTGAAGAATAAACAGATATATAAAGTACTGTGCCTGGCACAACAACTGATGCTCGGCAAATAGTGGGGATTTGGTCAATAGGTACAAAGTTGCAGTTAAATAGGAGGGGCCCATTCCGGTGTTCTGTGGCACAGCAAAGTGACTATGTTTAATAATAATGTTCTGTATATTTCAAAATAGCTAAAAGAGAAGATGTTAAATGTTCTCACCACAAAGAAATGACAAACATTTGAGGTGATGCATATGCTAATTACTCTGATTTGATCATTCCATAATGTGTACATGTTATCAAAACATCACATTGTAGCTCATAAATATATACAATTTTTATTAGTAAATTAAAAAGTAAAATAAAATAGAAAGGAACCTAGCCCTCAATTTTAGCCCACTGAGACCTTTTCAGACTTCTGGCCTCCAGAACTGTAAGATAATAAATTTGTGTTGTTTTAAGCCAAAAAAACCAGTGGCGATTGTTATTATTTTGGAATTCATTTTTCCTGGTCCATTACTCGATTCCAAAATAGTAGCCATCAGGGTTTTTATTAGCCCTGAGCTCTTAATCTGTTTGAGTTTGAAACAGATTAAGTTTGAAATCAGCTAAAACTTATGGTATTTGTGTGAGTCAAGGCCACAGCCAGGACTCAAATCTGACACTTAGATCTCTCCCCAGTGCTGGAGTCAGAGACTGGGGTTGGAAAACTAGAGGTTGAGCAAGAAACAATATCTGAAGAAAGAATTTTTCCTCTGGGTCTGCAGAACATGGTGCATCACTGCAAAAAAAAAAAATCTATGTACAACCCCAAGGGAATACAAATGAGAATTCTCAGCTTATCCAGACATCCAGTGAACTGTTCTTAACAATTCAGCTGAATTAGTTCATTTCAGTAAACATTTGCTGTCCCCTGACATTGTGCCCAGCTTTATAGCCCAACATGTGGCTTCTTTTGATAAATGTGCTATGTGCACTTGTAAAGAAGATGACTCATGCAGTTGAAGAATTGGCATCCTTTAATATGCTGTTAGTATGCTAATATGCTGTTCTAATATTCTGTATACACACCGATATTTTTCTGCTTTTCCTATCAATTAGTGTGGGAGAGAGATGTTAAAAAATTTCCAACTATGATTATGGATTTGTTTATTTCTCTTCCTCTTAATTCTGTCAGTTTTTGCTTTATGTATGTTGACGCTATGCTATTGGTGCATAGACATTTAGGATTGCTGCATCTTCTCGATGACTTGATTGCTTTATTTTTATGAAATTTCTCTGTGTCTTGAAGTGTACTTTGTCTGAATATAGCCATAGCAGCTTTGTTTTGATTAGTGTTTGCGTGATACATTTTTTTCCCATCTTTTTCCTTTCAGTGTATGTGTGCTTATATGTAAAGTATGTCTCTTATAAACAGTATACAGCTGAGTCTTGTTTCTTATTCATTCTGACAATATCTGTCATTTAATTAGCGTGTCTTTCATCCATTTCTATGGGTTTAGCTACCATCCTGATTGTTTTCCATTAGTCTAATCTGTTCTAAGTTCCTTTGCCCTTCCTTCAAAACTTTGTTTGGATTATTCAAGTTTTTGTGTGCGTGTGTCTATTTATCTCCTTTATTGGCTTTGTAGCCACATCTCCTTGTTTTATCTTTTTAGTAGTTGTTCTAGGAATTATAATACTCATCTTTAACATACTTCAACCTACCTTGAATTAATACTACCACTTTTAAATACAATGCATATTTTACATGTTTTTATATATACAACAGTATAATTCTACACACCTCCTCTCCATTCCTTTTGCTGTTCTTGTCATTTACTTCTCCATATGTTTTAATCGCCAATACTTTATTAGTATTTTTGCTTTAAACAGTCAATAGGCTTTTTTTTTTTTTTTTTTTTGAGACAGAGTCTCACTCTGTTGCCTGGGCTAGAGTGCCGTGGCGTCAGCCTAGCTCACAGCAACCTCAAACTCCTGGGCTCAAGCGATCCTTCTGCCTCAGCCTCCCGAGTAGCTGGGACTAGAGGCATGCGCCACCATGCCTGGCTAATTTTTTCTATATATTTTTTAGTTGTCCAGATAATTTCTTTCTATTTTTTTAGTAGAAACGGGGTCTCGCTCTTGCTCAGGCTGGTCTGGAACTCCTGAGCTCAAACACTCCACCCACCTCGGCCTCCCAGAGTGCTAGGATTACAGGCGTGAGCCACCGCGCCCGGCTAGTCAATAGACTTTTAATGAAAACGTTTAAATAGTCTTTTATATTGATCATACAATTATCATTTCAGGTACTTTTCATTCCCTCCTTCAGATCCAGGCTTCCCTCTGTGACCATTTCCATTCATCCAGAATGACTACCTTTGTATTTCCTGTAGTGTAGATTAAATACGGTGTTTGCTAATGCTAACCCTGGGTCATAAGTGGGTCTACTTCTAGTGACTATTGCTTCTCTTGATTATGGATTTTGTTCTCTTGCTTCTTCGTGTCTTGAAATTTTTTATTTTATGCCAGACCTGGTGTATGAAAGAACAGTAGAGATTAGAGTAGATATTTTCCCCCCTCAGAGAATACAGTCCTTTCCTAAACAAGCACCTAAGATGAGGAGCTGCTCACTTTGATCATATCAGGAGTTGATAGGAGCAATGTTGCAGTTTTATTTAATTTCAGCTCTCTGCTTTCAAATGTCTTGAGGATGAGGTCAATTCTGTCACTGCATTGGGAGCCAAGCACTGCAATGCCACCAAGATCATTCTGTTTCTCAGCCCTACCTTCAGCTGCCTCTCACACAGCAAAAGTCCCTGAGAGAGATGATTAGTATATGCAGAGAATTGGTTTCATGTTTGGAGCCCTTCCACGTTTAGTCTCTCACACGAGCCCACACAATCAATAGAGATTTAGCTGGTCTTGCCTCATGTCAGGGGATTGGCCCTCCTACCAGTACACATCCAGGCTGGACAGCGATCCTTAGGGATGAAGCAGCTGAAATCTGCTCATGTATGAAGGCTCGTCCTTCCCTAGAGTTTCATTTATTGACATTTCTTTGCATCCATAGCTTTTAAAAATCGGAGTATTTTATATTTTTTATTTTTATCTATTGTTTTCACATTTCAGCAGGAACGATAGTCTTTTGTAACCATTTACACCTTAATCAGAACACATCACATTAATTTTGAAAGGCTTTTCCCATCTTTTTGTATGCGTTTTGAGAGGTTAGATATGGGTTATGCTTAAACACTCTTACGTTGTCCTGGTTTTTTTTGTTTTTTTTTTTTTTTTTTTTTTTGCAGGAAGACTTTCTGGATTCAGATAAAGAAGTTCCCATTGAATCCACCTTTGTCCGTATCAAAGAAACCCCCTCTGAACAAGAGAGCAAAGTCTTTGTTCTGACTGAAAATGGGGAGCGTGCCTACACCATTAACCATGAAACCAGCCACCCGCCACCCTCTAAAGTCTTCGTCTGTGACAAGCCCGAGAGTATCAAGGAATTCTGCCTGGATGGTGTTTCCAGCCATGCGCTGTCAGACAGCTCCACCGAGTTCATGCACGAGATCATCGACCAGGTCCTCCAAGGGGGCGTAGGTAAGACCAGTGGCATCGGTGAGCCATCTCCAGAATCTTCCATTTTATCATCCAGAAAGGACAGCCGGAGGTTCAACCCTTTGCCAATCAAGAAAACTGTTCACTTTGAGGCTGACACCTGCAAGGAGGCTTCCTGCAGTAAGGACCCCTTCTACAGTCAGGACCTCCGCTCTGAAGGGAGCCCAAGGGCAGTACAGGAGGTGCCGAAGCAGGGTGGACCCAGCTTGGCAGCTGAAGTTCCTGAAGGAAAGGAGCCGAAACAGGAATCCGCAGAGACCCCGGAATTTCCTTCTGACCAGGTCCCCAGTGACATCTCCTTGGAAGATGGTACGATCGATAATTCTCAGATTTCCCTGAGTTCTTCCTGTAATGGCGCCCAAGAGAGTGCAGCTAGCCACGGTGAAGAAAGTCATTCTCTTGCACCCCTTGAAGAAAACACTGTTATGGCCGATTCCGTGGAGATCAAAGTTAAGCTGCAGACTGTAGAAGACATGGATAAAGAAGACTACTTTGAAGGCATACCATTAAAAGCCTCAAAATATAACAGCGACCTAATAGATTTTGCTTCTACCAGCCAGGCTTTCAATGAGGTTCCTTCGCCTCATGAGAAAAAACCCGCCGAGGGTGATGTTTTTGAGACTAATGCTGAAAAACTGGGGAAAAAGAGAACTAAATCCGCCCACAAAAAGAAAGATTCGCCTGAGCCCCAAGTTAAGTCCGAGCAACAAGAACCTCCTCAAGGCCCTGAACAAAACATTCAAGGCCATTCGTTGGCCCTGGAAGAGATTCCGGTGGATATAAAGCCAAAGGTGTGTGAAAAGGCCAAGAGGAAGTCCACTGGTCGTCCTCGTGGTGGGGAGGACGAGGGGGAAGCTGAAGGCCTCCAGAGCATAGGCGAGGAATTGCCCTCCAGCCCCCCAAGCAGCAGTGTCAGCCTGGAGACCCTTGGGAGCCACAGCGAGGAGGGCCTGGGTTTCAAGCCCTCCCCACCCCTCTCCAAGGTCTCTGTCATTCCCCACGAGCTTTTCTACTACCCGCATTACGAGGTGCCCCTAGCTGCAGTTTTGGAGGCTTATGCGGAAGGCTCAGAGGATTTGAAAAACGAAGAAACGGATCTGGAAGAGCCAGAGGGCTATTTGCATGACCTGGACTCCTGGGAGGAGGAGGCCGATGGCTCCCACAGCGGCTATAGCTCCCCAGTGCCGGGCGAGGGCCTCTCTGGTGCCAGGAACCAGGTGCCGCATCTCGACACGGGTGGCGAGGGTGCCACGCCAGCCTCGGAACCCGCCGCCCCACCCCCCCACGAGGACCACCAGCAAAGGGAGGCCAAAGAGCGTGACCCGGTGGACAACTATCAGGTACTCAATTGTGGGGTTTGGGAATGCCGGGTGCTGCCTGCAGGATGTGGCACTTTTCTGGAGCTCAGCTTCTTTCTCTGTAAAATAGGGAGGAGGAGGCTTCCCTCACAGGCATCTCAGGGAGGAAAATTCAAAAAGGCTCCCACAGGGAGGCTTGGACAAGTGCAGGGCTGGCACCTGAGCGTGAGCACCTCCTGAAATTTTGCACCTGGGCACCTCGCTGCTGCCAGTCCTGGCCTTGCTCACAGGGCTGCCGTGAGGATCAAGTGAGATCACGTCTGAGGGTCTGGCAGAGTCGGAGCAGTAATGATTTTAAAAACGATACCCGTAGCTGATGTCAGCATGCACTTAGTGAACTGCAGCCCCGTCTCCTGCAGCAGCCGGACGGGGACAAAGGGAGCACTCATGTTGGACAGCAGCCTTGGTTTTAAAGGCCTTTTGCCTGTTGGGCGCTAATCTTTGGTTCCTGTGGTTTGACATGGGTCGTGTAAACAGGGTGAGGAGAGGCACGCACTTGTCTGCCACTTGTGTTCCCACTTCACCTGGCCCAGGAGCTGAGCGGGTGCCTGGGGCCCTGGCCTCATGCCACGGGGGACGGGGCTGGTGATGGGGAGGGGGTGCTCCTGCAGGTGCCGTGTTAATAAGAACTCCCCACTGCAGCTCTGGGAATCCGGGAGGTGAATCCAAAACCACTTCAGCTGTGCTCTGAGGGACACAGTGTAGACAGGGCACCCAGGAGGAGAGGGGCCTGGGCTCGGCCCCTCAGCCAGTGCACCTGCGCGCTCAGTCCAATGCTGGGGGAAGCAGCGCATCTAGCACTGCCTGGAGGACACAGCAGAAAGGAAAGTCCTGCCTCAGTGTTTACTGCTAGCGACACTGAGTCCTCCAGGAACAGTGTACTGTGAGTGAATGTGGCATCAGACATGACATGGGCCCAGCAAGGGACTCAGGGGTTCAGCAGAGGGAGACTGTCACCCAGATCCGGGAAGCTGTGTGTGTTTGGGCAGGAGGATCTGGAGTGGGCAGCAGTTCTGGGCGGAGGACGTTCCCGACATGCAGCAGCTGTGGTGGGAAAGTGACGGGCTTTACAGGTCACCTTCGCTCGACCCCTGGCCCTTCCCATTGCCCCTTCCCTCATCTCCCACCCCCCAGCTCCGCCCCTCCACAGCACGGGGTGACCCTAAAACAAAAAGCTCGTCTTATCACCTCCAGACTCCTATCTCCAATATGAAGTCCAGACTTCTCAGCACAACTTTCAAGACACTTCCCTCTCCAGCCTGGCTGCCCACCCACCTCTGTCTCCCTCCCTTTCCTCGCCTCCTGCCAAGCCAGACCCCTCCCTGGCTCCCAGACCCCCAGACACCTACCTCCGGGTGTGATTAGGCTGGTCCCACCATCTGGTACCCCCTTTCTCACCTGCCACTTGGCAAGCAGCTGTTCACCCTTCAAAGCCCAGTGCGACCGGCACCTCCTCCCAGGAGCCTTCCTAGCTTTTCCCCAGCAGAACCGTTGTTCCCTCACGTATAGCTGATCACGTTTTGGACAACTCTCTCCTGGAGTGTTTATCCGGTTTCCCTGGGTTTTTTTCTTTCCCGGGAGAGAGTGGGCACGTGTGTATTACTCTTTGGACACTAGAGACCAGCACAAGGCCTGCCAGGGGTTTATTGCGGGACCGTTTGGGGACATATGGTGAACGTAAGGTGCATTGGCGCGCTGGGGAGGGAGGGAGCGCTGCTGCTTCAAATTGCTGAGAGTGGTTTTCATCCCTCTCCTGGGGCGCACTGGTGGCCACTCTAATCCTCTTATTCTGACGCCTGTGGAACAGGTTCTTCCAGCCCTGAAGGAATGGGTGAGAGGTGACTTCAAGGACTCCCACCTTCTGTTGATGGGTCTCAGGGTGCCTGGTGCGGACAGTAGTTAAAGAAGCTTCCTTACCAAATAAATGCTAGAGATGTGCTACGGTCCACCTCTGGCCAAAGGCACAGCGAATGTGTCACCCTGCACACCACACACGTGCCTGTGTGTGGACCTCTCCAAGCTCACGGCCGCCTTTGCACCCCTGGCCCACCTGGGTGCCAGGGTTCCCTCGGGTTCAACCATTGCCACTGTAAGGGACATCCTTTATGGGAAACCCTGCGGTCTGGTGGGATGAGGTTGATAACTGTACCCATTTGACAAACAAGGAAGCTGAGGCTCAAAGAGATGATGTCCGTCGCTCAAGGTCAAATAGCTGACTCAGCCGGGATTTGAAACCAGATCTTACTGACTCCGGGACCTGTATTGTTTCACTCCATCAGTTTGTAGCATTTGAATTCTGCACAGGGAGCGGGAGTTGGGGTGGGAGGCCGTGCTGGGAGGATCCGTGAAAGGTGCAGACGCTGGCGGGGCCTGCGAGAGCGCTACCAGTTGGCGTCGCCTGCTCTGCCTCGCAGCGTGAAGTGCTGACTTGTTTGGGGTTGTTCTGTCTTCCAGTCCCAGGAAGCCCCAAACTCAGAAAACACAGCAAACCCTGAGGAAGAAAAGGTGATGGAAAAATCAATCAGCAGCAAAAAAAAGGAAAAAAGGAAACATGTGGACCATGTAGAAAGTTCATTATTTGTAGCACCTGGGACTGTTCGATCCTCAGATGATCTAGAAGAGGACACTAGCGACCACAGAATCCCTTCCAGGTATCTTTTCACCCCGGAGAGTGACTCTCTGAACTCATTCCGTTTTCGATTTCTGATGTGATGGGGGCGCAGGGGTGGGATTCGACGGCAGGGGAAACGCAGATTCGTACAAAATCCTCATTCTCTGCACCCGGGCTCCCCCACCGCGACCTCACCGTTACCTGCTCATAGGGAGCAAAACTGGAACGACGTGACGCTTGCCATCCCGCCTCGTCCTGCGTGCCTTTGGGTGGGAACTAGCAGTGAGCAGCCGGTGGCTGAACTATAGGCGGGTTTTGCAGTGACAGGAGCAGACGTGGAGCCTCTGCCCGCTGCCCGTGGTACCCAGACAACTGCGTGTTGGGCTGGGCAGAGACCAGACTGCGCCATTTAGAAGCATCTTCCTGACTTTGAGCGCATGCACTGAGACCTTTAATCTTTGGCCCACGGAAGCTGGGTGTTCACATTAATGTTGTGGCTTCTCCCACACGTTTGGCTCCAAGGGAGTAAGAATGGTTGATTTATCTTGGGGAAGGGAGGGAGCAGAGAGGACAATGAGCTTTAAGTGACCTATAGGAAGCTTGTAGCACATATCTGCTGTGTCACCCCAAGGCCACCAGATGAGCCATATTTGTCCCAGGGAAAATAGGTAACTGCTGAATGTCAGAAGACTCTGGTCTCTCCCCACTGTCATCATCATCACAATAGTCACCGTTTACCAAGCCCTTGCTATGTTCGGGCACATGACACACATGTCCTCGTTCATTCTCAGGGTCGCCCCATAGACAGGTAGTTGGGATTGTGCCTCCTTACGGCAGACGCAGAAGGCTGGGGCCGCGTAACTTCCCCAAGACCTCCCGGCAGAGGGAATGACTCCACGTGCACTTGCTTTTCATCCCCCTCGTCACCCAGAGTGGTGCGAGCGGTGCCGGCTGCAGTGCCTGATTATTGAGATACAAGCAGGGAGAAGCCCACACAGACAGAGCCAGGGAGATGAGATGGGTAGGACTTGGGGGTTGGGGGGACATGAGAGGTGCCAGGCAAGGGTGAATCTCACGATTTGGACCTCAGAGGCAGGTAGAGAGAGTCAGGTTGGCTTGGGGCTGAGATGTCATTTGAACTGAGGTTGGACTGGGATCCAGTCTGGGGAGAGGGAGTGAGAAGGCATTCAGGTGAGCAAACAGCTGGCACCTAGCAGCACCTCAGCAAATACTTGTGGAGCGTAAGGGGGTGAGAGAGAAACAAAGGAATGTTGGGGGAAAGCGAACGTCCTGGCTACGCGCTGCATCGGGAGATGGAGCAAAGCCCGCCCGTGAAGACGAGACGGGCGGGGTGGATGGGGAGAAGCCAATCATGGTTTCAGGCCTCGCTGTGCAAAGGCGCCTCTCGTCTCTGTGCAAAGCAGGCAGCAGTTCTGTCCCCAGCTCCTCCTTCCCGTCTCACCCCAGGCACAGCTGTGGCAAAGCTATAATGATAACGAGGCATTTTGGCCCAGGTGACAGCAGCGTCCCGAGTGTCAGCAGGTGGCGTTGAGGTGTGCTCAGTGTGTAAAGGAATGAGCGTCCTGAGCCCCTCCTGCGTGCCAGGCCCTTTCACCCACTCGCTCCAGCGTAGGAGGTGCCACCGCCACCTTGTACGCCCAAGAACACTGAGCTGCAGAGAGGTCAACACCTGGCCCGAGGTTACTGAAGGGGACTGAGCTCTGGGCACTTGCCCTCCCAAGAGCAGGGTGTTTTTCTGGCCACTCCTCCATTTGGCTGCCCTGTGTGGCTTCTCATTGGTCCAGGCAGAAAGGCCTGTTGTCCCAGAGCCTGCAGGACCCCTGCGGCCTCCATCTCCCCAGCCTCACCTCCACCCGCCCTGCACCAGGCTTATGGCCGTAGTTGGGTTCCTTGACTGCCCCACATCCCACCCCCACCCCAAGCTCCTTCAAACCTGAGGACTTTCCCTTTGCCTGGACACTGTCCCTTGCCTGTCCCCTGGCTTGCTCCTTCTCAGCCTTTGGGTCTCAGCTCTACTGCCACTTCCTCCAAGCAGCCTTCTTGGATTCCTCCTGACTATTTTTGATCCCCCTTTATATGTTCTCGTAGCTTCTACTCTTTTTCTTCACAGCACTTGTCAAAACTGTAATTTCTATGATCATTTGTGTAAGAATGCACTTACCATCTGCCTTCTCCACCAGCCCTGGCCGGTGGGCCAACCCCCTGCAGGCAGGGACCGTGTATACGGAGTTCCCCGTCACAGCCCAGCACTTAGTACAGCCCCGGGCTCAAAGTTAGCATTCAGTAAAAATTCTCTGGGTAGACAAATAAATGGGTGAATGTGCTCCTAGCCCAGTTCCTGGTGCACGGTCGGCTCTGGATGAATGTTTGCAGAAAGAATCAGGTCAGAATTCAAACCCGCTGCAAGTGTCATATTGATGATAGTCTAACACGACAGCCACCCGAAGGAAACATGCTGCAAAAAAGAGGGGAAGGGGAAGGATGAGGCTTCCCTTCTCATGGGGATGTGCTTTTTTAAGAAAACGTGACAGATGTGGGGGAAAGAATGTCTCTGCATCTCTAGGTACTGCAGTGTCTGGGCCAACTCTTATGGGACACCACTCTGGGTTCCAGGCACCAGGGTGTCTTGTCTCTGTAGGTGCATTTTGCTTCATTTCTGTGCTGTGACACCAGCCAGGAAAAATTAGCCCAGTTTTTGGACTGAGGACAAGGACTGACAGTTCCCTAAGCGGGGCACAGCCCCTGGCACATAGTAGGTGCTCCGTGTAACTATTAGCTGGAAAGGTACCCGGTGCAAGGGAAGAGCTTGGTGAGGTTTTTCAGGACAACAGTGGGCAGGAATGCCAAAGCCGCCAATAGTGAATTCCCCGGGAACAAAATCTTGGGTTAGGTGCCTTTTTCCTGCCTTGAGGATACGGAGATGGCTGTCTCTGTGCCAGGTGCGTCAGCACCCGACACCTGGTTCTCCTGTTGAGCAGCAAAACGGGGCCAAATCCTTTCCCCTCCCGTCCACGATGATCCCCACCCGCTCCATGAAGTAGGTGGGTGGGGGAATGATGACCCATTTTACAGATGAGGAAGACTGATCAGAGATGTAAATGCTAGGCCAGCTAATCATCCGGGAGCCAGGATGACAGCCCAGGCCTCTGTTGCCTCAGCCCTGGCCAAGCCAGCTCTGCTCCCAGGGCAGAGGCACAGCAGCCTCAGGGCACAGTTGGAAAATTAGCCTTCTCACGTATGAAAGTAAAAGTGGCAGTACACCCAAGAGCTAGAGAAACAGAGCGCAGCACTGCACACAGGAAGGAGCGCTGGAAAGGGAGTCCAGAGACTAGCTCCAGGCTCGGGTGTGCCTAACTTGCAGAGGACTTCCGGCAAGTCCCAAGCCCTTGGGATGCTTGGGAAAAGAGGTCCTTTCCTGCCCAAAATTGTGCTATTTATAAGAATATGTGGCTTGCTATCTGTTTAAAACCCTGACTTTGTTTTCTCTTGTAGACGAGGGCCCAATGTGTGTCTCTAGCAGCCATCCTACTATTTTAATATAAGCGCACTTCAACCAAAGTGGGCGTGTTGGATAAAATTTCTCCGTTCTGTCCCTGAGTCTGAAGTCACCACTTGCCTAAATCCACATGTGAAGACTCGGGATGGGGATGACCTTACACCGGAGCCACGGGAGCTCTGGGTGGCACCAATTCAAAACGTGTGTTTGTTTTTCAGGACTAGTCACAGTGACTCCAGCATTTACATTCGACGACATACTAATAGGTCTTTGGAATCGGTTAGTATGTGAATTTCTTCTTTTTCCGTACGGCCCCTGCTAATCAATTCCTTTCCATCCTTCCTCCTCCCCAGCCCAGAGCTTTGAAATTACTGACGTGCAACAACTATACTTTTGGATAGAAGACAAACACATTGAAACCCTGTCGCTAAGCACAGTCCAGTCGGATGTCCGGTTTGGGCAATAAGGGATGTGAATAAAGTGATCATTTTAAAGCCCAAAGGCCTCTTTGTTGTAAAAATGCATCCAGACGCCCCCCTTGGCCCCTGCACACACCCCCAGAAAGATCACACCCAGAGTCAGGCACAACATGACAGAGGTCCAGTTTACACTCCCAGTGCTCAGCCCCACACGTGGTGGGACCGAAAGCCCCCGTGGTCCCCGTGGTCTGCACCACGGCCCGATTCAGGGTATATGTAGGTGGGGGGGCCTCTCCCGTTCACAAGTGTGGGGGGAGGGAGTAGAGGAATGTGTATTATTTAGTGGTTTGATTTTAGAACTAGATGTTGACAATATTGAGAAAAGCATGGCGTGCTCGGCTTTGTGTGTTTAAAATCATTTTATTTTCTGTTTCAGAGATTTCATCTTTACTAATTGGGGTTGCGGGGTTTTGTTTATAAATTTCACTGTAGGATCATTGTAGCTATGCTCAATTGAGGAACACAGCAGATCTGGATGACAGAAGGAACCGAATATTAACCAGGTTGGTTGCTTGGCTCTACTTCAAGTTTTGGTGGGATTTGAAAAAAAAATTGTTTTTACAATTTGGCAGCCCACCTTACGGGGGTGGTGACCGTCCAATGGTGCTTTGTGGATAACCACAAGAGTAACTTAGGGTAATGCAAGAAAATACCTGTTCCAGAGAAAATGAATGTGAATTCAGTGTGAGTGGGAGGGAAAAATAGGTATTAATTAATATTGACGGGTGGGGCACAACTCAGAAACTGAGTCAGTTTAAAGATGGATCTGGGACTGGGTTAAGATCCTGCAGCTGCATGTAAATGACGCAGTGGCATGAGGTGGTTATCACAGATAGAGCCGGGCGGGAAAAGAGGTGGTGATCTTGCAATGCTGTGTGCACCTACCGTGCTGTAGCGCCTGACAACCGTGTTCATTCTGTGTCGCCACTGCAGGTACAATACTCAGAAGCTCACTGAGCTGATTTTACAGTTTTATGGCATCAGAGCAGACATGAAGAGGGAATGCAAACATGCCAGGATGTCTATGAAAGTATTTCTTACCGTTGGAAAACTAGCTGGACTACTCTAACGTAGCCGAATTACTATAAAACTGCCCATTTAGAACACATCTCTCGAACTCCTATAGTTCTGAGAGAATCACTTCATTTCTTTTAATTTTTAATGTTTTTTTGGTTTTGGTTTTTTTGTTTTTTTTTTTAACTTTTTTGCCACGGATTTGAATTGGCTTAGAAAGGTTTACATTACTGGAATTGGAAGCTTCTGTCTGAATATTGCCCAGGAGTGTGGTCTTTATAACTCTACCTCTCTGGCTCATAAAAAAGAGGCAAGACAAGCTTCCCTCCCCTGCCATAAAATGGAAATATTAATTCAAGTTTTCAACCAGGCTGGACATGCTCATAAGAAAATAATACTTTTTGCTCTTATGAAATAGAGATGTTGAAAATAGAACCTGCCAAGTTGAGAAATGCAGGCGTGTTTTCCATGTTTTCTATATTGAGTGTTTATTACCTTTGTAATAAAAAATGTAGCTTCAATTTTTCTGCAGACAGTCTTAGAAAAGAGAGAGAGATTCTGTCCTTGACTGGTACTGCATATGAATCCGTTTGTAGATGGAAAGGTGGAATCCGGCCCCACCCGTCACTCTGTCAGGGGATAGTTCAGCTTCTGGTAATCTCCATCCCACGCCCTGAAACTGTCCTAAGAGGCTTACGGTCCAGTCTATGTGCAGCTTGGAGCGGAGGCCCCTCCCTGCTCCCCCCTCCTCCCTTCTGGACTTCCCTGTTGTCCCCCAGGCAAAGGAGAAACGTCATTTTAATACAACCTCCTGTTAAATAAAAGCAGAACGATAAATCTGACAAAAATCAAATCTAGTAATTATTTTAAAGGTAATATTCCAAAGCCCAGAACAGAACTGGGAGGAGGGTCTTTGTTCATTTCCGATGGCTGTTTTGAACTTACTGTTATCAGGGAGGGGAGTGCTCCCACCTTTACATAAGGCTCCTCCATCCCTAGCAAATGGCAGCGAGCTGTCAGTGTCTAAGTCTGTGTCACGGCGAACTCTCTGAGGTCACTGTAGTGTCAAGGAAGGTGTCCCGGGAGGCCTGGCTCAGGTGCTGGCCCTAGCCAAGTAATTGCGTGGCCTTGGGGCAGGTCACTCGCCCCATGAGTCTCAGTATTCCCATCTGCGGAATGGGCCTGACAGCGCCTCCTGCCTAGTGTCATGGAGATGAGCTGTGCGTGTGAAAGCTCTGCGGGCCACCCAGATGGCCTGACCCTCTGCCTGGGTCAGCACACACAGTGCGGGGCCTCCCTGAACACCACACTGGGAAGCCGGCAGTTCTCCAGGCGGGCGGTGAGGGTGGAGAATGGGGGGGAGGGGTAGCACTGGGCGGGGTCCACTCTCCTGGGGACCCGCTCGTAACTGCCTTTCCTCCGTTTCCTTCTGTAGGAAGGCCAACAACTCGGGAGAAGCCACACTGCTGGAGAGCCACAGCCCACGGAGCGACTCGCTGACACAGTTCGTGCAGCAGCCGGACATGATGTATTTTATTCTCTTCCTGTGGCTCCTGGTGTACTGCCTGCTGCTCTTCCCACAGCTGGATGTCAACAGGCTCTGATGCGCGTCTGCATAATAAAAAAGACAGGACCCTGACCAGGGGTGGGGTTCTTTTTACTTCATTTTATTTTTGGTTCTGGGCGGGGCACTCACTTCTGCAGACAGTTGAGGACCTCCAAGGATACCTAGACCCCTTTCCCCGCCGTGGTTGTGGTTTTGTTTTTTCATGTTTCCTTTTTCTTCTGTACGACCTGAGCATGCTTTTCTCTTTGGCTGTGTACTCAAAACTCAGGTGTGCAGCCAGATCCTTAGGTGGGGTTTCGTCCTTGCGTGCCTTGCTTGGTCAGATAGGAAGCATCGTCACTAGTGTTTAGCCAAAACCTGGATCTCAGCTCATCCCACATGCAGGTTTTTAAGGTCCTGGATGAACTCGAGTGACTGACCTCTCAGATGAAGGTCTGCGTGATGAGAAAGAGGCGGGGTACCCCAGGCTGAGCCCCCACCGGGAAGAAAAGTGCCCAGGAGTGGGTGAGGGAGTGAAGGCGCCGGGGTCCACGCACCTGTTGCAATCCGGCGATTGGCAGCGTCCATCGGGAGAGGTCCAAGCGGCGGGAAGCTGCCAGCTCTGGGCAGGCACCTCTGGGGAGTGGCAGAATCCGGGGAAGAAGGTGAAGACTGTGCTGTCAGCCACAGCACAATCTTTTGCACCCTAGTTTTCGGCGGGGGGGGGTGCATTTTTAATTCACTTGTGCATTGATTGGATTGAGGTAGAGCTGTGATTTTCAAACCTTTCCCACTGATGGAGCCCTCCTGTTCAGGAAAGGGGCGGGGAAGGGCCAGGCTAGTCAACCCAGTAAGAGCAGAGCTCGGGCTGACTTGGGGAGAGCCCTGAGACCCCCCACCCAGCCCTGCCCCCGCCACCAACTTTGCCCTTTGCCCTTTAGCTTCAGTGACCGCTCTTGAGACATCTGTGCACATCTTCAAGGGCAAAAAACCTTGAGGAGGAGCGGCCGGGCTGGAATAAGCCCCCACTGATGTTGGAGCTGGATGGTGGCGGCAGGTTCCCGCCTGAGAAAGCTTTTGTGCGCACCTGCGACAGGCGTCTCTTTTGGTCAGTCCCAATGGGTTTCTTGAAAAGGCTTTCCGGAAGGCACCCGGGAGAGAGCAGAGCAGGGGGTTGTAAGAGGAGAGAGTTCTCGCACCCTTCCACCTCCCTCAGCCCTGGGCTCTCCCTTCACTCTCTTCCTCCTCCCAAGACTCAGGTCTGTGGAGACTGTATCAGTTCCTTCCCCCTCCGTCCACCCCCTCAGAAAGCATGGATTAGGCAACCCTTATAAAATCATAAACTGTTGGTCAGGAGGGGGCCTCAAAGAGCATCTTGTCTAGCCCAGCCCAGAGAGGCATAGTGGATTGACCAAGGTCACAAAGCCAACCAGGAGTAGACAGGCTACCTGATGCCCAGTCCAGAGCCATCACCTCTTGTAGGAAACTTCCTCTGGGCATGCAAATGTCCTAAAAAAAAGATAAAATGTCCTCGTTCAAACAAAGCCAAAATTTTTAGGCCAGTTATTGACCTTTGTTTTGTTCTCATATTTCCCCCATGAGGAAGTTTTATTCACCTTCAAGCGCATCCACTATTCCTTCTGGAATACCCTTGATTGCGGTAACAGCTTGTCATTTTACATACTGGTATCGTTCTTACCCCAGGAATCACGTTTCTTCCTTAGCAAGCCAAGTACTTGCTCATTTCAAGCAGTGGGTTTCAAGTTTACAGAATTTCAGCGTGGCCAAAAGAATTTGCATATAGCACATTGGTTTCGATGACAGCCAAGATCTGGCCCCTAAACCATTCTGATTTATAGTCTGTCTCTCCTTCCCGAGAGAATTTCAGCCTTCCAAGCTGAAAGCTGTTGGGAGCTTGGAGTGATTCCATCTGGAAGACCGAGAACCCCATGGAAAATGAGCTAATTAATGAGCTCCCTGGCATCATTAGAAGCTCAAAGGTACAGATAATAAAGATTATATGTGTGATATTTTATAACCCTGGGCACCATGTAGTCCTCTCCTAAATTAGATGCTTAAAGGACCAGGGAAGAGCTGACCCAAATGTGAATCATTTCATTTTTACGGGTCTAGACCTTGTTCAGAAAAATCTCTGCAGGCTTCTTTTCTCACCTATTACAACTTGTAATATTGTTTAAAGCATCTATACTGGCAAGATGCCTAGAAGTCATTTGGTTCAGGTTGGCAGTAAACTGGATTTTTTTTAAAGGAAAAATATCTCATTCGAGTATGGTCTTATATGGAAGAAGCTGGATATAGAAGGTGGATATAGAAGTCTGCAGAACAAACCACTCCATTGCTAGTAATTTTCTTTAATTAAAGTTAAAAATTTTAATTAAAAAAATCTGTAAGACTTTTAAAAAGAACTAGCAGTCTCCTAAGTCTCGCTTCCTAGAAGTAGCCACTTTCAACTCTTAGCTGTTTCTTCTGATATTTACCTTTGCATTTCTATATAACATGTTTATACTTAATTTTTAATTCATTTAGAAGCATCTACTGGCTTGTTATCACAGTAGATGAGGGTTTTGCTCTTACCTGTACCCCGCTTTGTTTTTCTAATATAATTAGATCACATTATTTGGTACATCTTTATTCAGTGTTGGCATAACCTGGGGCATATAAAGACGGTAGCTGAGCCAAGTAGTGTACTATGGTTACATGTTCTTTCTTAGCAGATTTTCCCCCTTGACTTGTTATTCTCTTTCTCTCTCTGTTTTTTAGGGTTTTTTTGTTTGTTTGTTTTTGTTTTTTTGGTGTGTGTTGGGGACACATTTTTTAGAAACTTCCTGAGAAAGTTTTGAGATTTTTGCATAACTTAAACTGTCTTTATTCTGCCCTTACCCAAGAGTGGCTGAGCATAGAATTGCAGGTGGAAAATAATACCCTACTCTGCCGACCCTTCCCCCACCCCCAGCATAGTGGTTGACATTTCTGATGCCGTCCTGACCCCCATGCCTGTATCTGTGATTTGGGTGTTTCCCTCCTCCCTGGAAACATTTAACATCTCTTTATTCTTAGTGTTCTGAACTGTCATGATGGTGTTGTATCCTTGATGTTATACTTGTGCTGGGCCCTCGTGGGAAATTTGTTAAATCTTCTTGTAATTATTCACATTCTTTCTTTGTGGATCACCCATCGTTCCAATGTTGGATCTCTGATATTTTTATGTTTTCTATTTCTCATCTCTTTATGTGTTTGATCTGCTTTTAGGAAGAATTATTCAGTTTTATCTGCCCACTATGAATATTTTATTGAATTTTTAATTTCCACATTAACAAAACCTTTTGTCTTTGTTCTGTTATTTTTGTTTTACAGTGTCCTGTTCTTGAGTCATGGGTGAAGATCTTCTCTCTCTCTGGATGTTAATGAGTGTTTTGAGGGGACGTTCTTTTCTACTCCCTCTGTTGCGTCTGTTTTCTCTAAGTTCCCTTTCTCTTGGTTGATCTCAGTCTCTGTCTTTCATGTTATAAGTTTTCCTCAAATACCTGGGGATTCTGTGGATCTGTTCGTGTTTAAGAGGGATGTGTGTCAGCTGGTGGGCTTTTCTCTGGGGTCACCACGTGGGCATCCGGACTCATCGCTGGAGAACGCTACGTATCAGTATTTCCAGGTCTTTTCTCTGGGGCTCATTTTGTTTCTTTAGAGGTATTTCCACTATTCTCCCACCTGGGAAAGAGGGACATACACAGGGCTGCTACTAGCCTATGCATTGCCTTTGTGCAGTTTCAAAAAATGTCGTGACCCCTCTGGGCAGATGCCACCCTTGAGCACTTGGCTTGACTGGCAGAGGACATCTTTTGCCCCCTACTCTGGGCAGATGCAGCCCTGAGCTAGGGCAAGGCTTGAGGAACAGAGCAAAGGCTGGGTTTTACCTCCCAAATGCCCCCTCAGCCAGGCATCTCTTTGCCGTATCCAGAGACCCTGGTATACACCTGAGTGCTCGAGTTCTGACTGCTGAACGGGCAGTCTCATCACCAGTGAGTATTTAGACTCTCATTAAATTGCTCCTGCCTCTGCTGTACCTACTGTCCCCTAGCTGGAGGTTCTTTAATTTCTCCATGGAGTAGGAGCAGAGTTTTCATCTGGCTGCATGGGAGGGGCAGGGGACCTGAGAGCAAACAAATGCCCTGGTCTTCAGCCAGGTGTTTCGCCCACCTTTCCCCGTCCCCAAGCCTTTCCTGGATGCCACATCTGTCTCTGCTGACCATCCAGGGGCCTCCCCTTTGCGGGCAGGTGGCTTCATGATTCCTCTGCCCTGCTTATTGCTCCATCACTTCTGCTCCTACCGTAGACAGATTGGTAGCTGTTGCCTACTGTTACCTCCTCTCCATCCCTTTGTCTTCATGGTTGTACAACTTTCATTCCTTTGCTCTGATTTTCACGTGGTTTCATGAGGGAAGACATGAGCCCATGTGTTCAATATACCATATTGATCTGTAAGTCCTACTTGAGTTTTCCCACTGGTTGCCTAGGTGGCCTGCTCTCTGTTGACTTGTTTGTGAACGTGCCCTGTGTCCAGCTGGGGTATAGCCACATCCATCCTGTGGGTCTGGGGTCTGCCAAGTGCCTCTGCATGAAGTGCCAAGTGCAGGAGAGGGTCGCAGGGCATGCGTAAGCGCTGCTTGAGTGCCGTGATTAAATAGTTACTCATCCTCCCTTTTTCTCCCTCCTCCCAGTAAACGGTCTTAGATCTGCCTCCCACAAGATCCCGTCTATGTGGTTGCATGGTTTTAGGTTTTCTTTGCCACCTCACTTCATTTAGGAAACAAGTAGTCAGAAATGGTATCTGCCAGTGAGCTAATAGGGTGGGTTCTGTGTGGATTGGTGTTTGGAACTTGGCCAGCATTTCCTCATAGGAGCTTGTGTCTTACCGTGGTTGGCGATTACAGGGTTGTTGGGGGCTGCCTGGTTAGACCTGACCTTTGTGGGGAGATGGGCTCCCACCAGGGCTTGTAACCGAGAAGTACACGCTCGCTGTCTCATGGATAGCCACAGGGCCACGTGCTCCCCTGTTTCTGGGGTTCAACACAGTC